GTATAATTAGATGGGAAATGTTTAGGACAGCATCTGACTTTTGTATTCAGCGGGTGTTTGTTATTAAATTACATTGATTGTATACCTTCCGTTTGGTGAGAGGCAGCAAAGCAAAGTGAGGACAGCTGTGGGGGCCCTAACCCAGGAGACCTGCGCTTGAATTCCAGCTATGCCACTTGTTGGCTATGTGACTTTGGCCAAGTTATTTCATCTCTCTGAGTTCTTTGGGAACACTACATACTACCTTTCAGGCTTGTGTGATTAAATGTAATGCAGGTGAGAGAGCTGGCATGATACCAGGTTATCAAAGGTGCCTAACAGAAGTTGGTTCCCTTTCTTCATCTTAGCTCTTTAGCCCTGCCTGAAACCCAACCACTGCCATTGAGTTGATACCTACTCACAGCAGCTCCCCTGCAACTTGAGTCAGGATTCATCTGAGTGTCGTAGATGTCTGCTGTGCATGTGTGTTCAGTTGCACTGGGAGGATCACAGAAGTGATGGAGATGAGAACCTCATGGGCAGAGTGCTCCCGGGCTGGAAAGGAGAGGGAATGAAGTGCCACCAGAGTATTTTGGCTCTGCCTTGCCCAGGAACCTTCCAGCCTGGCAGGACCAAGGGCTTGATGGTATCCCTGAGTCACCTAGAAAAAAAGCCAAGCCCTCTCCAAGTGCTAGTTCCTGTAATAGGTGTCTGTCCACTTGAATGGATGGAGCCCATAGGAAGGTAGTAGTGTACATGGGATGGGCAAAGTCTTGTGTCTTTCCCCTACTTCAGCTGGTGCTTGTTGTTGTTATTTGCCATCGAGTTGGCCGCGACTCATAGCGACCCCTCCTTGGGTTTTCAAGGCAGTATCGCTACGGAAGTAGGAATGCCCAACCTTCCTTCTGAGGAGTGGCTGGTGTCAGCTGGTGCTTACTTAATATGTATTCTGTAAGTATCTGTGGATAACTTGAGAGGAGAGAAGAAACAGGCCCAGGGAAAGGACATACATTGAAAGTCAGTCCACAGTTTAGACCCTGTGTTAGATTCCTAGGGCTCCCTTAACAAAACCACAGACTAGGTGGCTAAGAGTAACAGAAATTTATTTTCTCACAACTGGAGCCCAGAAAATCAAAGTCAAGATTTCATCAGGGCCATGCTCCCTCTGAAGGCTTAAGGGAAGGATCCTTCTTTCCCTCTTCCTAGCATCTGGGCTCCCAGCAATCCTTGGCATTCCTTGGCTTGTAGCTCTATCACTCCACTCTCTTCCTCTTTCTCCATAGGGTCTTTTCTTCCCTGTGTATATCTCTGTGTATCTTCTTATAAGGACATAAATCACTGGATTTAGTGCCTCCTCTAATCTAGTATGACCTTAATTAATCACAACTGCAAAGACCCTATTTCCCAATAAGGTCACATTCTTGAGGTTCTGAGTGGACATGAGTTTTCAGGGCACTTTTCAGCTACTTAGAGACCCCTTAGCTGTTTGCCCATAGTATTTTGACCTAGTAAGATAAGCCCTGCCTACTTCTAAGCTCACTACCTACTATTACACCTTTGTCAGTTCCTCAGGCCAAACTTCTGCCTCAGGAACTTGGCATTTACTGTTTCTCTTTTGAGAACATTCTTCCCTTAGCTTTCTGTATGCCTGGCTCTTCGTATCCTCTGGATCTCAGCCTTCCCAGGCATCTTATGTATAGAAGTCTCTCTTGTTCTTAATGCCTGCCCTTTTATTCCTGTCTGTTTCCTTGTTAGAACATATAGTTGATATGCACCTATTTGTTTATTACCAGTCTCCATGAAGAGATGGGCTGAAAGCTCCACTCCACAGGTAGAGTGCATGTCTCTCTAATTCTCAAAAGCATCCTTAGCACCAAGAAAGAACTGGGCCTGGCCATGATAGGCATTCAGTAAATATGTGGACAAACAAGCAGCTTTGAAAGGAGGAGCAGCAGGAAGGCTGAGAAGTATTAACTTGACTGTTCCTAGTGAATAAAATACCTGGAAATCTGGGGCCCTGTGACACCTTCAGATGCAAAGAAGAATGACTCCTGCTCCCCCAAATCCGATGGCCCAAGCTTGGAGACTACTGGCTGGAGGTGGACTCCAGGCGGACTTCACCAGGCAGAGCCTTAGGTGTGTTCCTCAGGAAAATCTAAGTTAATCAAACTTACCTCATAGGGCTGGTGTGATTACCAGAAGAAAATTCTATAGATGTGCAAAACCAAATCCATTGCTATGGAGTCAAGTCTGACTTACAAGAACCGTATAGGTCAGCTGTCCCATAGGGTTTCCAAGGCTAGAGGTCTTTATGGAAGCAGACTACCACATCTTCTGTGGCACAGCTGGTAGGTTTGAACCACTGACCTTTCTGTTAGCAGCAGGGTGCTTAACCACTCTGCCACCAGCACTCCTCCGTAGATGAACCAAACCCAACCCACTGCCATTGAGTTGATTCCTACTCATAGCAGCCCTATAGGACAGGAATAGAACTCCCTCATACGGTTTCCAAGGCAAAATCTTTTTGGAAGCAGTCTGCCTCATCTTTCTCCAACGGACTGGCTGGTAGGTTTGAACCACTGATCTTTTGGCTAGCAGCCGAATGCTTTAATCACTGCCCTACCAGAGATAACAGTAAATGGTAGCTTCTGGTGAACTCTTCACAGGAGGGGGCTCCCAGAAAGATGCCTAGGGGTAATGGGTACCTACCCTGCCCTACCCCCCAAACATTATTCACCCACAGTTTGTAATATTTCTTCTCCCTGCTGCTTCTGAGTTGGCAAAAGTGATTATAATCAGGTGGCTCCTTAGTAGAGGGTAAGAAGGAGAAAGACCTGGAAAAGATGATAGGAAGTTGTATTTGCCTTTTTAATTAAAGAGTTAGGAGCTCTGGTAGCATAGTGCCTAAGGCACTTGACTGCTAACCAGAAGGCTGGCAGTTCATACCCACCAGCCACTCCTCAGAAGGCAGGGTGGGCAATCTACTTCCATAGTAATGCTGCCTCGGCAACCCAAGGAGGGGTCGCTATGAATTGGGTTGCACTCGTTAGCACATAACAACAACAACAACAATGAAAGAGTTGGAGTTTTAAAACAGGTTGTTTATTCATGAGCTTACACTAGCCATGCAGCTGAGTAACCTTTCTAATTTAATCTGTAACTGTTTCTAATTAATGCCCAAGTGAGCTGCTATAAAACTGGTCTTGTCATATCTGTAGGCCATTAAGAATTAATTAGGGGAAAAGCAGGCAGCAGTGGTTGATGTTTTTTGGATGGTCAGGAACAATGCCATGACTAGGTGCTTGCTGCACTCTGATGTACAGAAACTGTATTCATGCTCTTTTTGAACAGTGTGTCAACTCCTTATGGTGCATCCATTCATGTAGGAAAAGGGACTGTGTGAGAGCCTATACCAGCCTGGGTGCAGAGATGTCTTTAGAACCTATTTCCTTGTCTCTGGCCCTACCTCCAATATCTTAGATCAACCAAGATTTAAAGTAGTGGGCATTCTCTAGGTGGAGGAGAGGACATTCCAGAAAGAAGGAATGTCATGTGCAAAGGCCTGGAACTTGTGTGGAAAAAAAGAGCAGGGCTGGAATGAGAGCTGGTACACTTTCTCATGCTGAAGGATACAAGGGATAGTGTCCACGTGGCTGGAAACATAGGCCATGACAAGGGAGGATTTTAACACCCAGACTGAGGACTCTGCACTTGATCATGTAGACGGTAGGTGACAAATAGCTGTTTTCTGGAAGAATGACAGTCATTGGTATTTAGAAAGAGAATTGACAACCAGTGAAGAGGCTGTATTGGAGAGCCATGAAACTGGGGCTATTTAAGAGCCCAGATACATAAAGGGCAGGATGCTAGATGTGTCTCCCAAACCAGATGGTAACTTCCTAAACAGTAAGGTCCTATATTTGACTTCCATTTGTTTCCTTGACAAACAGATATACGATGGGCTTTGTAGCATACCACTTACAGTTGAGAAATTACATGCCTGTTCAAATTTCATGCATGGGTCCAAAAACAATACACAGTTAGACAACAATAGGGTCAAGTTTAGTATAGCTTTCTCAACATCTTATGGGGAAAAGACTTGAGGATGTTAGTTGAAGACACATATTCACCTGGAGCCACTGGTCTTGATTTTACCTGGACATAAGAATAATGTGTCTTCTAAATGATAGCTCCCTGGTGCTTCATGGTTCTCTAGCCTGCTCTCTTCATTCCACCCACATCCAATTTCCCAGATAATTCATACATTTGTTCTCTTCTCACCTCCTCTCTTAATAGAACCCAACCTACTAACCCAGCTCCCTACTCCCACTCTGTTTTCCACATACCAAAACCCTCCTATGTCTCCCTATTGCCCTCAGAATATAAAACCAAATCCTTACCATAAGAGGCAGCCTGTGATTACCAGTCTTAAGCCCCAGCCGTACTGTCCATCTTTCTCTGAGTTCCTCATAGGCACTCTGCTACCAGGACTTTGCACAGGTTGATCCCTCTAAATCGAATGCTCTTCTCCCTTTCTACTCCTCACCTAAATACTTCAGATCTCAGTTTAAGAGTCATTTCTTCAGAGAATACTTCCCTAAGTCCACAAAGACTAGATTTGGTATAGTGCCTAAGGCATTTGATTGCTAAACAGAAGGGTAGTGGTTCAAACCCACCAGCTACTCCGTGCAAGGAAGACTGGGCAATTTTCTTCTGTAAAGATTTACCATCTCAGAAGCCCAAAAGGGGTCACTATGAGTTGGAATTGATTCGATGGCAGTGAGTTTGAGTTTTTGTTAACTGTCCTAAACAGCACTGAGTAGCTTCCCTTCATTGGCCAAATCACAGTTGGTTTTACATTCATTTGTATAATGTCTTGTTTAACTGCCTCTGCACTGTGAACCTCTGTGAGGGCTGGGATCTTTTGTGTTTGCTGCTCTGTCTGGGGCCTAAAATGTACTGGATCTGTCACAGCTATTTCCATTGCATGAATTGATCATAGTCTCTTACACTCATTTCAGATATGTAACTGGTTTATCAATGCCCGCCGGCGGCTTCTCCCAGACATGCTTCGGAAGGATGGCAAAGACCCTAACCAATTCACCATTTCCCGCCGGGGGGGTAAGGCCTCAGATGTGGCCCTCCCCCGGGGCAGCAGCCCCTCAGTGATGGCTGTGTCTGTACCAGCCCCCACCAATGTGCTCTCCTTGTCCGTGTGTTCCATGCCACTTCACCCAGGCCAAGGGGAGAAGCCAGCAGCCTCCTTCCCACAAGGGGAGCTGGAGTCCCCCAAGTCCTTGGTGACCCCTGGTAGCACACTCACCCTGCTTACCAGAGCTGAGGCCGGAAGCCCTACAGGTGGACTCTTCAACACGCCACCACCCACACCTCCAGAGCAGGACAAGGACGACTTCAGCAGCTTCCAGCTGCTGGTGGAGGTGGCACTACAGCGGGCTGCTGAGATGGAGCTTCAGAAGCAGCAGGACCTGTCACCACCCTTGCTGCACACTCCCATCTCCCTAGTCTCCGAAAACCCCAAGTAGGCATCTGCCGGCAGGGGTGCTCGAGGTTCGAGCTAGTTGTCCTGGGTTTCCGTTTTGGTTCCCTTTCATAACAGAGTTCTCTATGCATCACTGCCAAACACCAGGATCGTCTGCTCTGTCCAGAGATCTTCAGCAGGAAGATGCCAGGTGGCGTCACTGCACTGTGACGAGGGCCTCTCCTCACTGACTGCCGCGTCTCCAGGCCTCTTCACAGTGATGGAACCACGCGATCGGAGACAGGCATGGTGCTGCTGCTGCTGCTTCTCCAGAGACTCCCCGGGTTACCTTTGTTCCAGCCTGGGCTGGGCTCGGGAAACCTGCCAAGTTCATACCTATGCTGGTTCCAAGTTGTCCCTGAGGGGGGACCTCTTTAAGCCAGGTGTGGACATTCCAAGTTCATAAGTGTGAACAAAAGAAAAGAGGAAGTCAGCAGATGTAACAGAACCGACTCCAGTTGAATGTTTAGATTTTCGCTAACCTCTGTTTATTTTCCCCTTTTTGCTGTGGATTAATGGGACTAGTTAGCTCAGGTGTGGGGAATGAGAGTGTGTTGCGGGATGGAGTCTGATGAACTGGGAATGAGCCACCACTGCAACTGGTGATTGTTTTATAAGGAAGGACGTGCTTTTATTTGGGGGACCAGCTAAATCGCAGTAGTGTGAAAATTCCAAATGGTTGTTTAATTACTGGTTGGTTTACCAAAAAAGAAAGAAAACTTTTATGGGCTTTGGCTTTTCTGCATTAGGCACAGAAGGGGACAAAGTCACAGCCAAGGTAGAAGGTCCACCAGAAAATTTGACCAAACCTAGGCACAGCGCAGAGAAGGATAATAAAACCAGAGAGGTGTGGTGGTTTTTTTTTTTTTTTTAACGGTATTGGGGGGTGGGGGAGGTAAGCTAGATTGAGGCAGCGGGATTTTTTTTGTTGTTGTTGTTTTCCTCTCTTTAATGTTTTCCTCCATTTCTTTATTCCTGATTGCTTTGCCCTGCAGGCCAAGTTGTGAAATCTTTTAGGAACTTGTGGAGATTAGTGGGGCCCACTATGTCAAAAGTTCCTGTAGCTTCTACTTGGAGAGAAGTGAGCCATCTAGTGGTCAGGTACCTCATCTAACTCAAACAGGCAGCTTTTCCCACAATGGTGACAGGAAACTATTTCGGAGGAAGCAGGTAGTACCGCCCCTGGCTGCCTGGGCAGCTGCCTTCAGAGAAGGCTGGGGCTAGATATGGGTTATGAAGCCTGTTCGTTGTCTCTTTGTGTTGCACCTTCTTTAAGCTGGAGTTGCAGAGGCTCCCCCTGAACTTCACAGTGAAACAGATCATAGTTTGTCTTAGTCTACCCCCCCAAACCTCCTTGTTTTTTATTTTTCTGTTTCATAGCTGACATGTCGAAGGCAATATACCCCATCTTTATATATCCTAAGACACTAATCCTAGGTTATTTTTAGCCTAAATTACTTTGTTCTAAATAACATTGTTTCTAGGCCAGAAGCCCCAGCCTGTAGTTTATGAGATTGGTAGACACTGGGCATAAGGAAGAGTGAGGGTTCCTGGGTGTTGACTGACTTAGGTGGGTCTGGCTAGGAGGAAGGCAGCAACCTGTGTTCTGTCCTTTCTGGGAAGATCCCTGAAACCTGGGGGCAGGGGGACTCCCCCTCTCCATCCATTGCTGTGAGGGGAGATTAGTTATTCAAGAAGGGTGTGTTTTGTGTTCTGTGGGTGGGCACTCTGTCTAGGCTGTCTCTTTCGCTGGCCTCTGGCCCCTTCCTTTTGCCCGTCCCTTGTGTGTGCCCCAGAGAGATCAGGGATCCTTACCCTCCTGAGGCCTAGCTGAGAAGAAAGAACACAGCAGCTGCAGATTTAGGAGAAGCTGCTGTTTGCCCAGCCTGTTCCACGCTACCCCTGTCTGTGAGCTCAGGTCTGGTGTGACTGTTGCCAGGTGCTTGTAGCAGGGGCCTTTGGAAGTTATATTGGGTTGGGGTGAGATTTTCCCTTCCCACAGTGCACTGCGCCGTGGAGGTGGTGAAGGGCAGGGGAAGCCATGCTGCTGAATTCTGGTTGGCATTCCCCCCTTGTGTGAAATGGGATAGTTGGGGGTAGGGCAGCTTCTGCTTCAGTTTGGTTGTGAGAGAAACCTGCAGGAAAAGCATGGTTGTCCCATTGAACTATTTGAGCAAAAACTACTATAAATAACTTCTGTTTTTGTCTTTTGTCAAATAAAGTTTGTTTTGTTTTTTTTAAAAAGCATAAGCAGGGTGCTTGATTGATACACTGTGACCCTGGGCCCAGGCCTGGAGAAAGGGTTGTAGCTGAGTTCATACTCAGCCTCGCCTCTTCCACCTTCCCTCTCCTGGCCAGCTGGGAGCTTTTACGCTCTGTGTCCCTATTCTCATTGGGAGACCAATGCCCCCAACCTCCCCCATTTGCCATCCCCTTCGTCACTGTGCAGGGCTCCACATCCCAAGTTGGGCCAGGTCAGTTTTCCCTGGGATGAACAGCCAAGCTTTGAGGTTGCTTAGTGGTACGGATGTGACCTTAGGGAGTTGGCACATTACCCGGTCACACCCTCCAATGAGGAAAGAGCATGACTGCAGGGTGAAGCCGGCACAGTTGAGAGGCTCTAGCCATGTCTGAAACTAGTCCCACCTCTGGACTTCCCTATTATGTAAGCTAGCAAATTCCCCTCTTTGTTTAAGCTAGTTGCAGATTGTATTTTTGTCATAATGAGATGACAGTACATTAATTGCAGCCCAAACAGTGCCAAAATCAAGGTCTACAACCTTATAAAATGTTAATTATCTCTTGGTTCTTTTGTGTGTGTGCACATATGCACACACACACACAAAGTGAAAAGTCTACATTTTATAAGTAAGAAACCAAGGCTATTTATTACTTGTCCAAACTCATACAGCCATTATATGTGTGGGGCTAGGATTTGAATTCAATCCTGTCTTGCTTCAAGGTCACCAAAGCCTGCCCAAACTCTTATTTGAACAGGCAGGGCAGTTCACCACTTACTGGCATCCAGTTATCAGTGTTATGGGCTAAGCATTATAAGTTACTTCTGAGACAAATCTCCTTCCTTGAAATTTCTCCCTGATATTTCTGGACGGGAGATGACTCTCACAGGTCACTCCTTTAGAAATGTGGAGAGGGAGCCTCCCCACTCAAGTAACCCCATATTAGAGCCCCAAGCGCCTTAGCTATTCAATCTGAGGTCCTCCTGGTTTTCCCAGCTTTTGTCAGTATCCTTCAACCTGGACAGTTGGCCCCAGTGCCTGGCAGAATGCCAGCAAGGGTTCCTCAAGGTAAGTTTAATGTTAACTTTTAAATACAGACATACTAAAAAGGGAAGTCATTTGGGTGGTTCAACTGCCTAAAGAGAAGAGAAAGAGCTTAAAATACTAATTTTCAAAGAATTGAAACCAAAAGTGTCTAATTCATTGAGCTCTGAATTGGCAAAACCCTGGAGCGAGCAAGCACTCTAGATCATAAGAGCTGACTGAGGGATAATGTGAGGGTCCCATGAAGCTGGGATAGGACCTAAGGACATCCACCTTTCCCGTATTGGCTTCAGTTAGGAAATGGCTTTTCCATGCATTTCTGTCCCTGTTCTTGAGCACTTGTTATTCTCTTTGCCTCCCTGTCTATACCCACTACTGTGGAGTCGATTATGACTCATAGCAACACTGTAGGGGAGAGTTCCCAGCTGTAAATCTTTACAGAAGTAGATGGCTCCATTTTTCTTCCACTGAGCAACGGGTGGGTTTGAACTGCCAAGTTTCGGTTAGTTTTAACCACTGTGCCACCAGGGCTCATTTCCTTCTCTACACCCTCTCTCTAATGGGAGCCATGATGGGTATCAGGGTCAACTTGAACCTTGTCTCCAATCAAGGAGGAAAACAAATTGAAAAAGGAAAGTGACAGCAGTGATAGGGGAGGGGGGTATTCCTTTAAGCTGGTAGTTGGGGACAATCTCTGATTCACTGCTTTTGTAAGTGGTAGTTCCTCCATGGGCTCCCAGCCACAGAGCCACTGGGAAACTTAGTCTATCTCAGCCCTAGATACGGAACTCTGGGTTTTTAAAAAGCAATCTCAAGTTTGAGAGCTGCTTATGTGAAAGCTCCCAGAGAGGAGGAGCCAACACTGTTTTGTATGAACATATCCTCACTTTGTTAGGCACTGGAGTTGTAAAGAATAAGGCTTGACACCCTGGAGAGATGTGGAGATAATGATAAATCATTACTCGATGTTTCTGATTTCCAAAGCATTTCTCCATGGTAAGTCTGGGTTCAGATTCTAGATCTGTCACTTAATTAGGCAAGATAATTCTCCACTCCAAACCTCAGTTTCCTCATCAATAAAATAGGAATAGTAATATAATCTCTTAGCAGGATGAAACAGAATACTGCATGTTACTGTTATTTATTATTATCTGACCTAACTTTGACCTTACTTTCAGTGTAAGACTGAGAGAAAAACAACCATCTAATATTTTGCCTGATACCTCATAGATTTTTAAGTGCAGAATTGACATTAAGTACCAAGAGGAATGAATGGTTCCAAAACCTCAATATGCATCAAGATAATCAGGGGAGGTGACTAAAATGCAAATTTCAGGCCCCATTCCCAAAGAGTCAGATTCTCTTAACTCTAGCATTCTTTACTGATGCCATAGGACATTCAGGACCTCTGCTGACATGGTGCCTTAAGGCATCTTGACTGCCAACCAGAAGGCTGGCAGTTCAAACCCACAGCCACTTGGCAGGAAGATGGGGCAATCTACTTCTGTAGTGATATGGATGGCTATGAGTCAGATCTGACTCCATGGCAGTGAGTAAGTTATAGGTCATTCTACTGCTATTGGGCCAGGGACCTGATTATTAAGAGGACAGTAATCCATTCCCAGGAGTGCTGGGTTTGGAAGGTAGAACCTCATCTTTCAAAGTTAGGAAGAGGGGTACCAATGAGTCCCTGAACCAGGTATCCTTAACCCCTAGGGGTTCATGGCAGCCTGAAGGTCAAGTGTAGCCTCCCTGATTTTTTTTTTTTTTTAGGTATATAAAACAACATAGGCCAATTCAACTTTTTTCACTTGTACAACTTAGAGATAACAATCATGTTGTGCAACCATCACCAATCATCCTCATTTTCTATCACCATAACTCCCTGCTTCCTAAACAATGACTCCCCTTTCCCTCTCCCTCCCAACCTGGTAACCACTTTAGCTGAAGCATTGGTGGCATAGTGCCTGAGGCACTTGACTGCTAACCAGAAGGCTGGCAGTTCAAAGCCACAGCCACTCCTTGGAAGGAAGATTGAGCAATCTACTTCCGGAGGGATACCGCCTCAGAAACCCAAAGAGGGGTCACTGAATCCGATCCGACTGGAAGGCAGTGAGTTTTGTTTTGTTTTGTTTTGTTTAGGAGATTTTGTTGCTTTTCAAAGGTGGAGGAGAGCTCTGGTGGCATTGTGCCTAAGGCACTTGACTGCTAAGCGGAAGGCTGGCGGTTCAAACCCTCCAGCCACTCCTCGGAAGGAAGGTTGGGCAATCTACTTCCTAGAGATACTGCCACGGAATCCCAAGGAGGGGTCTCTATGAGTCCGGTCCAACTCCACGGCAGTGTGTTTGCTTTGGTTTGGTCTAAGGTGAAGAACTACAGGGGAATGTTGCAAGAATAAAGCTTAAGGGTTAAGAGCACAGACTTTGGAGTCAGAGCAAGGTACTAGTTAATTCCAGGCAGGCTATTTTTCTTCTATAAACCCGCTGCACAGAAGTGATCTGAAGGTCAAGAGTTCACAGGTCACCCCTGGTGTAAACGTATTACATAGCACAGTGAGTAAGGCACCACCAGGTGGTTGTTATTAGATGTCATTGAATTGATTACGACTCTGCAGTGACCCTATGTACAACAGAAGGCAACTGCCCCATCCTGCGCCATCCTCACAAAACACAGATTATGGACTCCATCCTCAGATTTTCTTACTCAGTAGGTCTGGGATGGGATCCGGGAGTTTGCATTTCTATCAAGTTTCCATGACATGCATCTGCTGCTGGTCTGGGAACCCGCTTTGTGAACCACTGACCTGGAACATAGTGAGACTACAACAGAGAAACACTCAAATGTTCTGATACTGAAAAAAGTACTTTATCCCTTCCCCTGCGGCTTCCAGGAGCCGTCGGCTGGTTCAAACTTGCTAATATGGCCTTTTGTTGTTGTTGTTGTTATGTGCCGTGGAGTCAAACCTGACTCATAGTGACCCCTCCTTGGGTTTCCGAGGCAGTATCACTACGGAAGTAGGATTGCCCAACTTTCCTTCCGAGGAGTGGCTGGTAGGTTTGAACCGCCAGCCGTCTGGTTAGCAGGCAAGTGTCTTAGCCACTATGCTACCAGAACTCCCATAAGTAGATTGCCCCATCTTCCTTCCGAGGAGTGGCTGGTGGGTTTGAACCGTCAGCCTTCTGGTTAGCAGTTAAGTGCCTTAGCCACTATGCTACCAGTCCTGAGGGGCAGCTTGGGGCTCCTATGAAGCATGGTCTGGACTCAGCCGACTATAGGATCACAAGGCCGCCTCAGGAAAGGCAGGGCGGCGATCTGCCCCAATGCCTAAGGGGAAGCTGAAACATACTGAATTACGTTCACGTCCAATATCCGCCTACACGTTTTATGCGGATCCTCCGTCTCCACAGCGCCTCCTCGCGCTCGTGCCTACGTCACGCCCGCCTCAATAATGCCCCTTCCCAGTCGCCCTACCGCGCGCCAGGCGGAAGCTTGTCGCCACTTCCGCCAAGCGTAGCGCGTTTGTGCCGAGTTGATCGCCGTTCTTTCATTAAGACAGCTGAGCGGCCGCCGATTGGCTGCGTGGGCACCTCGGCGGGAGGACGTGCGTCGCGCGCTGCCCCTCCCTCTGCGGCCACTGGTCTCTGCGGAGCGAACAGAGCCGGAAGGCTGGGTTGAGTAAGAGTTAGTGCGGAGTGTCTCTGGCTCGACTACTGAGCCTATCGCCGCCGCCTCGCGCGCCCTCACCCGCGACTCCGGACCCCGACTCCCTTTGGCTCGGCCCGCGCGCCGCAGGCCCGACACGGGCGGCGCGGTGGGAGGATGAGCGGTGGGCGGCGGAAGGAGGAGCCGCCGCAGCCGCAGCTGGCCAACGGGGCTCTCAAAGTCTCTGTCTGGAGCAAGGTGCTGCGGAGCGACGCGGCCTGGGAGGACAAGGTGCGGTGGGGCATGGCGAGGGCGCGTTTCGATGAGCCGACTGGGACTGGGGGACCGGTGGATGGTCCCGGGCCTGCCCCGGTCCTAGCGCGGCCGAGGGTTGGGGTGACCGGGTGGGTGGGCCCGAGGAGAATCGGGCCGAACTTGGTAGTCACGGGCCTGACAGCCGGGTTGGGGGCTCACTACAGAGTGGCCTTTACGGGAGAAGCCGCTGGGGTCACGCGGGCAACGATGAGAAGCGGACAGAGTTGTTGTCACCCGCCGCAGGCCATGTGCCTGAACGGTGAGTGAGCGAGCCGAGTTCTGTTCTGTCTCCGCTTTTCATTCTCAGGAAGATCTGGAGTATGTTGTTTTCTGTGACATCATATGATTACTTCATACAGTGTTTAGCATTCACAGTTGTGGTAACAAACTCCTACGGAGTACTTTTTATGTGCCGAATGCTCTCCATACATTATCTAATTCTCAACTCAAGTGGGGTATAGAGGTGCATTAAAATGTTTAGGATATGAGGAGGATCATCATTAATAATCATGTCATTATTGTTGAATGAGCAGTCAAATTCCCTAAGAGATGTTGAGAGGGGAGACTGGACTACCTTGGGGGTCCTGGTGTATATATGTGTGAGGGAGGAACTACTAGGTGTGTGTGAGGAATCATTGGAGCTTGGGTTGTGAGTGGGCCCCAGCTCTGTTCCTGATCTGGAAGGGACCATAAGAAACATCTTGAATTCAGGTGGAATCCAGGAATGTCATGTTTGCTGTCTTTCCCTTGTTTTTCTAGACTGCTGAAGTCCATTTCTCTTCCTGGAGTTCCTGTAAGGGGGGAAGGGAGCCACTTCCTGAAGGTGCCCTTGTCCTGCCCCCAACCCTGCCCCACCCCTCCTAGCTCTTGCAAAATGTGCAGTCCGATTTTGATCTGCTGTGTCATTTCTTTCCTCGTCTTTCCTCGTATAAGGACCGGTTTCTGGAATCTAAGGCAGATCAAAAACCAGACTCTTCCATGGCCTGTGAAATTAGATTTGCTGGTACCTGTCTCTCTCTCTCTCTCTTTTTTTTTTTTTTTTTGGTAACTTACTCAAAATTCAGTTGGCTGGAAGATATTGCTGAATGAGTTAACAGCTTTTCTGCTTGCAGACAGTCTGTTTAGGTCTCCCCTAGTCAGATAACAGTTATCTGTGGGCAGTAGCACGATTATTATCACAGCCACATTATCACAAGCAATTTCACTTACACACTTTCTAAAAAAATAGTTTATGATGTTTTTAAAATTTTGATATAGAGCACAGACTCTGGAAGTCATTGCTTAAGATGAAAAGCGGCTGGCACCCACCCCAGATAATGGATTCTGTGTATTAAATGCTCTTACTCGTCTTCTCCACAGGATGAATTTTTAGATGTGATCTACTGGTTCCGGCAGATCATCGCAGTGGTCCTGGGTGTCATTTGGGGAGTGTTGCCATTGCGAGGTTTCTTGGGAATAGCAGGGTAAGCAGTCTTGAGTTTCTTGCGTGTTCATGGTATCATTTTGTTTCAAAGAGAGGTTTGTTTTCCTGTTGCTTCTTTGGAGGACTTTTTTTTTTTTAAGAAATGACTAAAGCACAGGGGTTACTCTATGATGGCACACCTGGGTTTGGTACCAGCATGCTTTGGTGCATCAGGCCCAGGAGCGTGTCAGGCAATTAGGTTAACTTCCTGAAGGCTGGGCCAGTCCATTCATTCACAAATCCAGAATGACCTCAAGCAAGAGGCCACCACTTTATGTGTTGGTGGCCAGCCTCTGGTTCGGCTGTGACTTCTGTTTGTATCTATGGAGATTGGGAAGTAGAGGAGCTTCTGTACTTAGTGACCATCTCCCTTGTACATGGCACTGTGCTGGATGTACTGAATCTTGTGTTTGGCAGAAGTAATTTTAGGTCCCTACTTTGGAAAGGCAGTCAAAAGGTAGGAGGTTGGGCCCCCCATATTTTCCTGTGCTCCTGTGGGCAGTAAGCAGTTGACATCAGTCCCTGGTCAGGGCTCACTGAAAGAGAGTACATGTGCCCACCAGATTGGATTGAAAGGATGTGTGGATATCATCTTAAGTAGCAGTCTGCAAAAGGCATGGGGGCAGCATCCTCTGACTTCCTCCAGTTTCACAAAGGGATCAACAGCACCGGCCCAAAGCTGATTCTCATAAGGTGGAAGTTAGGCATGCTGCCACCTGCCGACCTTTTTACCAATTCTGACATCAGCCATCCCTCCCATGACACTCACTACTCTGGGGGGTTCGATAATACCATTGCAGTGGCCACATAGACCTCACAGGCAGTACTCACAATTAATGGGGTTTATTAGGGAAACAACAGGTCGCAGTTCAGCTTCAGGAATACTCGGGATACAATTCTCTGATCAGGACAGTCTCCCCTCTGCCATTGCCTAAGGCATGATGCTCTTTGGCCCTTGGTCTCCACCCTGTTTGGGTAAGTGTTACAAAGCTATTTTAGCTCTACCAGTAGGTATACCTGCGTGCATCCCCCTCTGCCAGCAAGCCTCCTGCCCAAAGTTACTCAGCTTTCTTACTCTTTGGGCTGGCAGCCCCGCCACTCTGTCTCGTGCCGGTCTCTCAGTTCTGCTCCTGCTGTCTCTCCTGTCTTGTCAGTCAGTGCAGGGATCTCAGGTCCAGGGACATGCTCACTCCTGCGTCTCTTTCTTGATAGTAGTGAGCTCCCCCTTTTCCACCTCTGGGAGGGTTCATTTTAAGCATAGCAGAATGACAGAGCTGTGGCTGGTGAGTTAAACTGCACAAATACACATTTTTTTCTTTTTAAACTTCATAGAATGCTCCAGATTTAAATTCCAGCTCTGCCACTTTGAAGCTATATAATTCTAAGCTCACCTCTCTGAGTCTCTCCATCAGTGAAATAGAGGCAATAGAAGTACTTTCTTTACAGGATTAATGTGTGGATTAAATGACATAAACCAAACCAAACCAAACTCATTGCCGTTAGTTGAACCCAACTCATAGTGACCCCTCCTTCGGTTTCCAAGGCGGTATCACCACGGAAGTAGATTGCCCAACCTTCCTTCTGAGGAGTGGCTGGTGGGTTTGAACCACCAGCCTTCTGGTTAGCAGTCATGCCTTAGGCACTGTGCTACCAGAGCTCCTATTAAATGAGATGGTACAAGTAAATAATTACTCAACATCGTGCTTCATACATCATAGGCATCCCGTAAATGGTTAACTGCTATCATTATATGGTTAGCTTTATAAAAAGCAGTCAAATGTGGAGCGGATCACCCATAGTACTTCTTTCTCTGCCTGTTTTCTGTAGCTCAGTCCCACACTGTCCTGCCAGAGACAGTCTGTCTGAACAAATTCTTTCCTTCTTTTGGTTGGCACCTTTTCCCTTGCTCTTGGAAAGGGCCCAATAGCATTGATTTTTCCACACACATCCTCTCTCCTCCTTTCTGCTGCTCCTCCACAGTCCCCACCTTAACCAGAAGGGGAGAGTCTGGGCTGAGGAGAGCCACCTTTTATCTCAACTTGTTTCTCTATGATTTGGCTATCATTAGGGCCTGTTAAGGTAAACTGTCCTTCCTCAGGTGTTTTTATTGATAATTCAGTTGAGGACTGAGTGATAGATCTGCTGGGTCTGCTGAGGTTTTACATTATCAAAGTAGGGCACTGTTCATTTCCCTACTTCTCTGGGTCTCAGAGCTTGGCACATGTTTAATAGGTGTTCAGTGAATGCTTGTTAAAATTTTTCTTTAAACTGAAATGAATTCCGTTGACCCTTGAAATCAGGGTCACACATTATTGGTAGCATGTAGCTTTCCTGCCGTGAAGTCAGGGTATTTGTTAGATATTTTGTTAAAATTCTGACTAGAGTTTTTAGGATAGAGTCTTGAAAAACTCACTGGGAGTCAATCCTTTCCGTTGTTCTTCCGCCACCTCCATTCCAGCATATTCATTCCAGCCTCTACACATTTGCTTGTATAATTCCCTCCCTGACGTACAGTATAGAAATTATGCCTATTTTGGTATTGGGCTTCTCCAGAGAAACAGAACCAATAGGAAATGTATATAAATAGAGATGGGAAGAGTGCGCACACGAGCAGAAGTCCTGGTTGACACAGATGGTCAAGCTCTGAACTACTAGCCAAAAGGTTGGCAGTCGGAACCCACCCAGAGGTGCCTCAGGAGACAGGCTTAGCAGTTTGTTTCCAAAAGGTCACAGCCTTAAAAACCCTAAGGGTGCTGGTCTGATGGAGCCTGATGGAACCACTGAGACTGTGGCCCCAAGCTGCCCTTCAGGTCTCGAATTGAACCCACTTCTGAGACAGGCATATGAGCTGAATATTCACATTAAGTAGGTACAGTCCTTAGATCAGTCACGGGAGAATAGAAGGGCTGTTGTATGCACAGGGAGACAGGTCGGGGGGCAGGGGTGCATGAGAGGGAAGAACACAGGGAAGAGGTAACTAGGGGAAGGTAGTGGGAGTGGAGCTGTTGCACTGTGGGAAATTGCAGTCAATGTCATGAGACAAAGTGTATGTGAGCTGCTGTATGGAAAGTGAATTTACTCTGTAAACTTTCACCCAAATTACAATAAAAATTAAAAAAAAAAAAAAAAAAACTCATATAAGGAGCAGTTCTATTCTGCACAGGTGGGGTGGCCATGAGTAGAAACTGACTCAGTGGCAACTAACAAAAAATACATGTATATATATCTATATGTCTATAGATATATATCACATACACATATGTATATATGTATGTGTGTGTGTGTTATATATATATATTTATTTATATATGTATGCATGGTATATATATAGAGAGTGAAAGGAATTTGCTCACATGATTATGGGTGCTGGCAAGTCAGGCTGTGGGCTGGAAATCCTGGCAGTCTTGTGTCCAAAACTGGTAGATCAGGCTGGAAAGTACAAGAGAGAATATGTGTGTGTGTGTGTGTGTGTGTGTGTGTGTGAGAGAGAGAGAGAGAGAGAGAGAGAGAGATAGATAGATAGATGTGGGTGAAAATTTACAGAGCAAATTCAAACACCTTTTGTTTCATGACATTGATTGCAATTCCCCACAATATGTCAGCTCTCTTCTACTTCCTCCCTGTAGTTTCTTCTTCCCTGTGTCCTTCTTTCCTATGCATTCTTGCCTTCCTGAGCTATCTCCCTGTGCAAATATTGCCATTCTGTTCTCCCATGATTAATCATTCCTAAGGAGTATATTTACCTGATATAAATGTTCACCCTATATGCCTGTCTGTTGTTTGGCTAGATGCCACAGGAGTGAATTCAATTCCAGACCTAAAGGGTAGCTAGGTGCCATAATCTGGGGGGGCGGGGGGGGGTGTCTCACCATGCTCTATCAGACCAGTAAACCTGGTCTTTTTTATTATTCTGAGTTTTGTTCCACATTGTTCTCTCACTGTATTCAGGATCTCCCATACTGATCCCATTCCGTGTGCCTGACAGTGGGTAGCCAGGCACCATCTAGTTCTTCAGTCTCATGGTCATATAGGCTGAGGATCGTATAGTCTGCTGGTCCCTTGGACTAATTGTTTCCATGTGTCTTTGGTTTTCTTCATTCTTCTTTGCTCTGGAGGAGGAGAGACCCATTGTTGCATCTAGATGGCCCCCTATAAGTTTTTAAGACCCCAATCACTACTCACCAAAGTAGGATGTAAACAATGTTTTTGTGTAGTATGTTATGACAATTGAGCTTCATGTCCCCTGCGACCATGGTCCCGAGCTCATAGGTCCAAGTACTCATTCCCTCAGGGTGGCTGGCTGTGGTTAAGAAGTTATCAAAACTTTGTCCCTTGTTAGCTGTATTATGTCTTTGGACATTCTTACAGCACATACAAATATGTATGTAGAAATATCATCTGCCAGCCTTACATATGGTCATGGGTATATTCCCTTTTGCCTAGACATAGCTGATCATTAAGCCTGTCTGTCCATCTGTTTTCCCATAGATCAATGTTTGTTATCACTGATAATGCAGTATTGTATATGTAAAAGGATTTATCTTTGTTGTATCTCTTATGTACATCTCTGTGCAAAACAGAAACTCTTAAGGCAGAATTCCTCCTCCTCTTAGAAACCTTAGATTTTGTTCTTAAGGCCTTCAACTGATTGGGTGAGGTCTACCCACATTATGGAAGGTAATC